CCTTTAATTAGCCTGCCATCATTGCTGTGTAGAACTCCCTTTGCTGCTGCATTTCCCATTACAACCGAACCATCCGAATTCAAGCAAGCCCATCCAGCGTCCGGGGGTTGCCATGCGATAAGTCCTCTTCTGGGCAACTTATTACCTTGAAAAATGGAGGCTAACTTTGCCGCTGCATCAAGTACTTGTTGTTGGATGGTTACCACACTATTACATATAATGTGGGGAGTGTCCAAGGCCTTTTTAAATACATACTTACAGCGGTTCTTCCACAATACCCAACACATCACGGCAAACCTCGTCGGATGTACTTCAGTGCTCCGACCTGCAAGGTAGTGAAGGATCCACCTGTTCATGTCATCCTGATAGAAGGCTGGCCCTGGTTCGTCTTGAAGAATCTCTGCCCACACAGACCGTGCGAATGGGCAGTCCCGGAGCACATGTAACGTCGTCTCGTTATCTTCACCGCAGACCGGGCATGGTGCTAAATTAGTGATATGGCGTCGATAGTGCTCACTATTCGTCAGCAGCTTTTCATGGCTTACTAACCAGAAGAAGGTCCGGATTCGCTGAGTGGCTGAGATCCTCCAAACTGTCTTCCAAATCGGGTAATTCCCACTGGAACCTCGCAACAATAGAGAGCTCTTAGGCGGTCTTTAACGAGAACTCTCCATTGGGTGTAAGACGCCATGTGGGTATATCTTTTTCGACTCCATGGGGCACCGGATGGAGCATAACCTGTTGCACAACATCCTCTGGTAAGAAAGCCTGTATATATGGCTTATTCCATTCATCATTCAAACCATCTCTGCCACAGAAATAGAGTGAGTGTCTAGTGGAAGTCCTATTGCTTGGTCAGCAATAACCGGCCCGTCTTAGAGCCACCTATCCGTCCAAAAGCGCGTTTGCTCCCCACTTCAGATATTCCATGTAACCTCCTCCGGTAACAGGTGCATGATACGAAGAACCCAAGCGACAAGCTTGAGAGTCTTCTCTTAACATGTGGGTACCAACCTTCCTCGGTCTTCCTCATGTACTTAGCATGGACAAATCGTGCCCAGATGCTTTCAGGTTCAGTGAATAGTCACCACGCTATCTTGATCATGAAAGCCTCATTCAATCTCGTTGTGCTTTGAAGACCCAAACCTCCTTCTTCCTTGGGCCGACAAAGCGTATCCCAATCCACAAGATGGACCTTCCTTCCGAACTTCCCCAAATTTCACTAAAAAATCTTATCTTCTTGTCAATATATTCCCGTATACTTGCAGGTAGGAATGTGGTCTGCATGGTATATGTTGGAAGGAGGTAAGTACTGACTGGGCATAGGTGATTCGACCTGCAAGTGACAGTGTGGCAACTTTCCCACCCGAGAGCCTCGCATCCACTTTGTCGATGAGATGATTGTAGGTGGCTTTAGAGACTCGATCATGAATGACAGGAACTCCTAGGTACCTTCCCAGATTAGATGTCTCCGAGATACCTAGAGCTTACGTGATTTCTCCTCTAAGCTAGGTTGTGACGTTCTTGGAGAAGAACACTCTGGATTTGGGTTTACTTACTCGCTGTCCTGATGCCCCTCTGAAATCCTCCAGGCATTTCACAATGGTTGTGACCTGCTGAATAGAAGCTTCCCCAAACAGAATCAAATCATCTGCAAAGAAAGAATGTGAGAGCTCTGGTTCGTTACTAGATAATCGGATGGGTTTCCACAAACCGTCCTCTACCGCCACCTTGATAATGTGACTGAGCCGCTCCATGCACAACGTGAAGAGATATGGGGATAGTGGGCAGCCCTGGCGTAGTCCCTGTGACGGGCTAAAACTGTTCGTCAAGCCTCCGTTCCACTGGATCCTCATGCTAGTCGTCGCAATACACTGCATCGCCAGGTTGATGAATTGCTCAGGGACCCTGGCTGGCAAGAGAGTGTCGCGAACAAAAGGCCAGCGGATTCGGTCATAAGCTTTGGCCAAATCAATTTTTAGAACCATCCATCCTCGCTCCCTGTCCTAACTCTCATTGAGTGAATCACTTCCTGCAAAATACAGATATTGTCAGTTATATGTCTTCTCGGGACAAAACTTGTCTGGGTTTCCGCCACTAGACTCGACAAGAGCCTTGAGCCTTTCCCTCAAACATTTCGTGATGGTTTTGTAGGTGACATTGCACAGGCTGATTGGTCGAAACTACTCAATAAGTGACGGCCGCTTGACTTTGGGTATGAGGCACAAGATGGTATCGTTCACCTCCTTCACATATGTCGGATTAGTCCAGCAAGTCTGGGTAAACTCGATCACTACTGGTCCCACCAACGGCCATAGCTTTTGGTAAAATAGTGGGTTCAGCCCGTCACTTCCCGGTGCTTTCAAAGGTCCCATACTCATGATCGCCTGCCGGATCTCTTCTTCAGTGAAAGGTTGTGCTACCCTCGCCCATTCCTCCACTGGTATGTGGGGAAAGGTTGAGGCAATTAATGTAAGCGGCCCATCCTCATCTGTATATAGATGCTGGAAAAAAGTTGTTGCACTACAGGAAAGGTGACTTTATGCAACACTCGTTATGTAACACTTTTTAAAAGTGTCACATAAAATAGATATAGGCAACACTTTTATTTTGTGTTGCCTCATATATATCTTATGCCACACAAATTAGCCGCACGATAATTTTTGTTACATATTGTTAATAATATGCAACATTTTGTACAATAAAATAATTTGTGTTATATATTCTTATATTTTAGGCAACACTTAATAAAAATGTTACATATTGTACAAATTTGATATTTAGTATTAATTAGATATATGAATTTCACACTAAAATTGAAGAACGTAAAAGGACCTTTGTTTATTTTAGTGGAAAATTAGTGCTAGTAAACCTTTTCCGAGTGGATTTCTGCATTCATAGAGCATAATAACAAAGGTATAAAGGAAACATTAATAAAATATAATAAATCATGAAAATAAAATTGTTTTTCTCCAACCCAAAAAAAAGGAACAGATCACAAAAGCACAAAAGCATAAAAAAATACATACAAAAAGAAACCCAAAATCACAAAAGCATTAAAAAAGTACAAGAACCTTTACCTTTTGGGAATTGGAAAGGACTCGTCGTTCTTTCTCCACCAGCTCCCGCTACTTGCGGCGGCTTCTTCTTCCCTGAACTCTCACTAGTTTCCCGGTAGCTAAGAGCATAGTGGCTGAAAAGGAAAAAGGACAAGCAACACTCGCTTCCAGCTTGGCGATCAAGGTTAGTTAGTCGACTTCCATCTTCTCCTTCTTCTCAGCTCTTTGGAATCAATTCATGCTTTTAGTGGAGAGATTTTGGCCTTGATTGATCCCTCTGATATCTAGGAAGAATTTGTAGTCCTTCCCATTGAATGATAATTCTGCTAATTGTACCATTCATCTTAGTTTGGAGCTTAATTTGTGTCGGCATTGGGGGGTGATGCATCTGACCGAATTTTGCAAGAGGTAATAAGGCGTCCACTTTACAATACTCTAAGTCACTGTTTTTACTATGTTGGGCTGCAATCTCTTTTACTAACGCATTCTGGCTTGTGCTTTAAGGTTAGGGATCTTCTGAAAGATCGGAGCACCTTGAAATCTTATGCAAATTCGGTCACTGTCTTTGACGGTTCTCAAAGGAGGTTCTTATCAGTGGGTATGTTGTTCTGTCTTGTATGTCTCTTTGATACTAACATCCAACTAGAGATCTCTGTCCTGGATTTAAGTGTACAATGACTAATAAGCCAGAAGGCTTATCCAGTAGTTTACCATATAAGTGAAGTTTCCTTCTATGTGGCGAGGAGTAGTTGACTTAGTTTGAACCTGATCTGCCTATCAGTGGTTCAAATTCGGCCTTTTGATGCTGCAAATTTCTTTGAATTCATGGAAAGCATTGCGTGTTAGTGGTGATGTTCTTATACCATTTTCTGGAGCTAGTTTCAGGCTTTACAGAGCTCTTATGAAAGCTTTTACATGGTTTAGCCACCAGTTGCTTCTGAAACCCAATATGTTTCCTTAATTTCCGTGGAAGAAGAAAACTGTGGTGAAAAGAGAAGTGAATTTGGTTGTTTTAGTTGCTTTCTTATTCTTTGAAACATGGTTAGCGTGGAATTCCTGCTCTGTGTAGTACGAGGCAAAAGCTATTACTTAGGGAGTTTATACATTTAAAGTACGGAGCCAATGCAATCAATTTGTGAATATACCTGAAAAGGGTCAGATAGAGGAGGAGACGATTCGAATCACATTTATAGGGGGACTGATGTTTCAATCTACCTTTAACTTGCAAGTCTAGCAGCAGGAGCTGTGATTGGAAAGTGAAAACTCGCTCAAGTGCTACAATGGACTGTTTGCGGGTCTTCTTATTTAATCATATCCTAATTTATGAACTGTGGAATCAATCATTAGAGCATTACATTCGCCTCCTTCCCTTCAAAATAAAAGAGCTTGACTGGCTAGCTGCTAGTTTTACCATCTGCTACATATTTACAAAATAAAACAGCTTCACTCGGCTTAGAATCAGAATCAAAGTAGTCCACAAATTTCTCAAGAGAGAAAGGAAGTATCTGCCTATGATTGAGACGAGAACAGAAGTAGAAGGAAAAATTATCTATGGATAATGGAGTGATCATAAGTTAAATGGCCCATCAACTAAGTGGAGCTTCAAATTGGTTTGTGAAATAACTGTATTTCGTGGATTAAAAGCTCTCATGGTGCCTATAGCTTTTAGTGTGTTGTAATTCTGTTTTGGGTTTGCTTTTCTATTTGTGTGCTTGGGTTCATGCTTGGTTCAAAAAAAAAAAAAAAAACTTTATGGTGTGATTGAGAGGAAGAGGAGGCAAGCTTGATGGATTAGTACTAACAAACCGCCATATATATGTATGTTTGTATAGGTAGGAAACTAAGGATGATTTTGTTTGTTTTGAGGTTATTATACTCTGGTGGATACCTTTCCCTATCTTCTAATATAAACTTACAGAATTTCCCTTGTGCTTCCTTTCTGCTTTTAGAGGTGAAGAGTGTCCAGATACTGATTTAGTTGTTCTTCCATTCATTGGGTGATACCAACCAATCTTGAGCAGGTACGCAACTTTCTTTGCTTACTAGATAAACAATAGGCTCAGAACTTAGAAATTGATTAGATAAGTGCGCAATATATTCAGTTGAGATTTTAAGTGTTATTTTGCTTCTTATATATAAGGTTTGCATCATTGGTAGTAGTTTGAATGAACTATTTTTGTACATACTTTGACAGGAGCTGAAATATTTTGCATCTCGCAATTGAAATGCTGGACAAGAATTGGGTTTCGAAACCACGGGAAAGTATTGCATATCGCAATGGAGTAGATAACTTTTTGAACTTTGCATTTGCTAATTCAGCTGAGGGAGATCAGATTGTGTGTCCTTGGTTCTCGCAATTCAAACTCTAATTAAGCATGATAAGCGTCGTCAGACACAAAGTAGTGGAGTAACATTGACAACCATGACCTCTAGTTTTGCTAGCGCCAGAGATAAGAGCCCGGTGCTCGCTAATGTTGCTTATTATGGGGCTATTGAAGAGATTCTCTAGTTGGATTATTATGGACACTTCAAAATTGTCTTGCTCAAGTGCAAGTGGTTTCACTCGGAAAGGGATGACTACGGGCTTATTCGGGTCAATATGAAGAAATTATTATACAAAAATGACCCGTTTGTCATGGCAAATCAGGTAAGCCAAGCATTTTATGTACAAGACCCCGTGGAACAAGATTGGCACTATTTCATGGAGGCAATCCCTCGGGACTTATTTGACATGGGAGCTGAAAGTTCGTTGGATGAGGCTGCTTCTTCTTCACAGGAGTTCAGAGTTGATGCTTTGCAGAATGTTGTACCAGTTGATAACAGTGACATTCAATGGTCGCGGGAGGATGTCGATGAAATACTAGTTGACAACCCTGAAGACATTGCTATGCATGATGATCGTGCTCCAACTGAGGCTGAAGTGACGGAGAATGAACACTCAGGTGAAGCTGAAATGATGGAGCATGTACATAAACACTCAAGAGAAGCTGAAATGTCAGATGATGAAGACGGATTCTCAAGTGAAGAAGAACCTGCAGATGATGTAGATGAATACTCTGACTGGTTAGTTAATCATTACACACTCAAGGACTACAAGCAAGCTCCTGAGGTAACCTAGTTAACCAACTACCATTGGTGCTGTTTCTCTTTTATTGATAATGACTATGGAGTAAGGGCTAACCTAGTTAACCAACTAACATCCTACTGCTTGCATGAAAAATGGTATCTAATAATATACAGAATGAACATTTTGGGTGACACCGACCCTTAATAAATAAGGATTCCACGTGGCTGCTTTCAGCTTTGATTGGTATGAACTCCCATCATCCTGCCAACATGGAATTTATAGCCAAAAACAAAGATCAGAAGCCATACCCTCACAAGTTTTGTTCATCCCTGAATAGTTGATCTGTTAGGTTTGCAGGTTACGCAGTGTTGCTTGACTTTGTCCCAATGGAATTTATGCTTGCATCTATGTCCCTGCAAGCTTAGTTATGCCATATATAGTATGATTAGTTATGCCAGCTTGGAACTCTTAGTCCTATAAAAGGAGGGGTTTTCTACAGAATTTGGCAGGTGATTGAGCTATTGAATGTTTTCTATATTAGTAAGTTTGATAGCTGTAACGGAATAACAGGTTGTGCTGGCAATTTACTTTATGTTATGTTGGTCTTCCTATTTCCATAAGATCTATATTAGTTATGTCTCATCTGAATGGAGTAGTTTTGAAGGATATCAAATTAGTTAACTTGAACTTGTAGTTGTAGGGTGGCTGACAGTGTCTTGTCTGCAGTTTAAATGTACTTTCAGAGTTTGCATCTACTGGTTGTCTATTTTTGTTTCTCTTACTTTGCTCAGAAACAACATAACTCATAATATTTATAATTGACATGGTTGTTATTTTATTGACAGGTGCTCACAGAACCAAGAGGTGCTCTCGGAAAGCAGTATAAGAAGTTGTTTGGCTAAGAACATTGGGGCTAGGGGAAGGCTTGTGTAAGGATGGATCTCTCAGCAGTGCACGAGGTCTTGCTTAAAACATGATATAAAGATGCTTAGGAAGTTGTTTGGCTAAGAACATTGGGGCGATTTTCTTGATGTTTAGAACTACAACTCTTGTGCATTTGGAATTGCAAATAAACCATTATTGGTCAAGGTCATTTCTTTCGGCTGTTCCATTCTGTCGATTGTGACCATCTGAGATCCCAACTTGCAGCTATCATGAAGTTGTGTTCATCTATGATTTTGTCTCTTCTCTTGGCCTTTCTCTGTGTCACTTCTCGTTTGGCAGTTTTGCTTCTTTCCTATGCCTTCTGAAGAACATCTAAAAATCCTCAAACTCTACAGGTTGAAGTGTGAATGATTGAATCAAACAAAGCTTACCATGTCAATGCACGAATCACTATATTGATTTTTCCATTATGAAATCAGCAAGGAAAGGGGATTATTTTTCCCATTATGAACTTTGGGTCAGCAAGCTACAAACTATGAAACGAATATCAAACAAAAATCCAGTGAAGAGAAGGACAATCAACAGGGACCTTTTTCTAAAGCACTACAACTACCACTTCCACAACTACAAATCATATTCAATTACAGAGAAGCAAATCTAATAAGTCTGTCTCTGTGGATTCATTCACCGCCCTTATTCTTTGGGGATTTGGGTTCCGATGCCGAGGAAGTCTCAGATAATGTGCCTCTATTGAGGATGATTACATAACTAGTGGGATAAGATTTTTCTCGATAAGTTGCGATCTATTCTTCGGAATCACGCCAATCATTCCATTAGCAGTCTTAGTTGGTTGTGATTTTCTCTTCAACGAGACGTATGTATTTTGACCTTTACTCTTGCCATTCTCTGGTACTTTTGATTTCATCATACTGGTCAATATTTGAAAACAATTAAGAAGCATTAAAGAAAGGGATGCGTCGATGGAAATAATGGTTATATAAGATAGCAAACATACAGTAGCCAACAATACAAACAATCCAAAATATCAAATTAGAAAAAATCACCATTAAAAAGTAAGCCAAGCTAGCTGCATGTTAAACCGTCTCCCATGTTACCTTCCTTTTTGTAATTACATTGAGTCTTTCTTCTATATAAGTGAGATTACATAACGTGAGCAGCTATCGACAGGGCAAAAACCAAACCCAAACACAAACCATCCAACCACTGACACTTGATCATCTAGCAATGGACTCTTGAAAGATGCAGGTTCATGGCTATATATTGTTTATATTTAAACTAAAAAAGCAGAGTCACAATTGTAAGTCGTATTGCTGAGTGGAAGCAAAGCATAATCAATTACTTACCTTGTGGTCGTAGCAGCGGAAACTGGAGAAATCTCCGAGGAGTTTTGAGAGACCACTGCCGTCCGAATCGCTCAAATATGATGACTATGATATCCTTAGATTGTGTAGGGTTGCTGTGATATATAACTGAAGTAGCCGCCATTAAACTTTTAGAGGATGGAGGGAAAAACAAAAAGGCGGTCAATACCAAATTCCAAGCTTGGCGGTTAACTTCACTTCTTTTGCATCCTTATTTATCAAATCTCCCACCAAGCATGTTCAATATATTCTTTCATCGAAGATAATTATTTTGAAATATATTTATATACTGCTTTTATATATTCTTTCTAACCCAAAACAAAAAAATAGCGTATCAATATTCTGAATCGATCTTCCAGCCTAAGCATGAAGCACTTTAGGAAAAAATAATCTTTGGATGGGTATGTGGCCCATTATGTAATCTAATTTCCCGCGATAATATTTTTCAAGCTTATCCTAGTTAGGAAAAACATTAATTTGGGGTTTAGAGTTTAGAGATTTAGGGTTAGGGTTAGGGTTTACAATTTGGGGTTTAGGGATAGAACTCAAAATTGGAGGTCTAGGGCTTAGGGTAATCCGCTAATTAGTTGGTATCCTATGTTATATCATCATATTACACTAATTCTACAAATTAAAATTCAAAATCCGACACCTTAAAACTAGTTTTGAGTTGGGTGCATTGAACGCACTCATTTTTGTGAGTGCACCGAAGTAGTCACTATATATATATGGTTGAGGCTAGCGTACGTCAGGCGTACATTGTACGGTCTTCGAGTTTTACTATTTAGAGCACGAATTAATCGGAGTTTAGGGCATGATACTATACCCTAACCTCTAATGGGTGAACCTCAGTCCCTAATTCTCTAACCCAAGCCACAAGATTCATTTAATCTAAAAAATAAAAACCGATGGTTCTTATTCACGAAATATATTGCAGTGTAAAAATCAAGTGTGAACACAGGCGTACAACGTTCGACTGGCATACGTCAGGCGTATACTATACGTCAGGTACTACTAGTGAGATATCTCTATCTAGACAATGAATTAAATCGAGTTTGGGGTAAGATACTATACCCTAACCTCTAATGGATAAACCCCAAGCACCGATTTTCTAAACCCCAACCCGAAGTTTGATTTAATGAAAAACATAAATTGACCGTTGAGATCGGCCGGAGCTCATCTATGTACATCTAATGGCTAGATCACCTAACGTATAGTATACGTCTGACGTACACCAGTCATTACCATATATATTACTGTGAGAACACATGTATTGTTAGCAAACTACATCAATAGTTGTATAGTTAATTTAAAAAATTATGATATGCATGTAGGAATGCATTGAATCTAGGGCTGCAAATGTGCCGAACTACTCGCGAGCGGCTCGGCGTTCGACTCGAGGAAAGCTCTTTCGAAACTCGATTCGTTTATTAACGAGTCAAACATGAGCTAAGCTTTGTTAAGCTCGTGAAGCTCGCGAGCTAGCTCGACTCGGTGGCTTGTTGAGCTAAACTCGTGAGCTGGCTCGTTTAGAGTTTATGATATGTCTCAACTTATAACCAAAATTGCATACCGAACTAGGTCAATAACTATGGTATTACTATCCTCTCAATTCGAACATCATCCGTAATAATGCATGTCATATCATATATTTAGTTCAATTAACAACTCTATTAAGTATGTTAAAGAAGATTAGAACGAAAGTTTGGGCTGAACACCCAAAATTTATTAATTGAAAGACAATGTAACACTTGATCATTAAATAGGAGTGTCTCAATTCCAAGTATTTTATTTCTCCTAGTGAATTGCGTATTAACATAAACCATAAAGGAAAAATTATGGACAGTATTTTTTCCGGAAAACAATTGTAGTCAAGGATCATTATTTTATTCATTCATCTCTTAAATGATAAATGCTATTTCCCTTAATGATGATAAATGAAATCTCTCCCGAGTAAAAACTCTTGGGCCGGAAATCTTCCAAACCATAAAAAAGATCCCGACTCTTCCAGTTGTAAATAAATCTCTATCCTAAAGCAATCACAATTATTAATATCAAAATCTCTCCCATTGAAGAAAAACCCTTCATCCCCTGCCGAATTACTTCCCCTGTTCCATCGTCGACTGCCTACTCTTCTCATATTCCTGGACTCTATCCTTGTTGCCGTCAATCTCCAGTAAGGTGCTCTGCCCAATTTATTAAGTATTTTGCTATATTTGTCATCATGTTAGGTGTTGTAGTACTCTTCTTCCCAAAACTTGGTTGTCTTTCAGCGTTATATGTGTTCCTCGTGCTCTCTTATTACCTCAAGTAAACCAAGAATATTACATGTGTTTCTTCTTTGCAGTCCTGTTCTTTTTAGCCATGTGTTTCTGCTTACTTCAAGAGCTATTGTTCGGCCAATTATTTACTCTTTGTGATGTTTTGTTGTGATCTTGATTGCCTTATTTACTTTTCCTCTGTTTTGGGTTCTATTTTGGAGCCTTGTCATGATTTGCTTCCTCTGTACTTGTATCTTTTACGTGTATAAACAAATTGGAGTTCACCACTAAAGAGAATGATAAAGCAGTAAACAATTAAATTAGCCTTTTATGCCATGTATTGAAATAGCCATCGTACTAGCTAACAAAAGTATTATAATTGCATTACCCAATTAAAGTAGCCCCTCTTATTTTGATAGGAATCATGAGTTCTGGTCTTATTGTGTATTCTACCAAAAGAGCTAGGGAAACAAAAGAACAGGCAGCCAAATCAATGAGTTCTGATGGTGATGAGACACGATCCCAAAGGACAGATGAATTATATGATTCTGATGAAACTCAGAATTATTTAGAAGAACTGCATGCTGGACACACCTTTGTACCGGAATAAGAGTTTGAATCTCAGGAACCTGAAGGTACACACAATGTGTTCAAATTGTTTTGTGATTAACTAAATAATAATCTTTGCATTTTTTTAATATAGTGAAGAAGAAGAGAGGCAAGACAACTTGCAACTCTGTTGAGCTGGCAACAAAGAAGGGAAATAAAATTGAGGTGCATGTTTCTAGTGATGGTAAAGAGGCTATTGGTAAGAACGCACGAAAATTTGTAAATTTTTGTGGACTAATAGTAAGAAGCAATGCGAAGTTGAACATTGAGACATGGAATAAGATGGGCGAAGCTGAATTTGAAAAATTATTTGAATTAGTGGAGGCAAATTTATCTTTTAAGTTTTTTAATATGTATGTTCACAAACTCCCTGCGGTATATTAATTGTTCGGTTATTGTATGCAGGAGAAATTCACTAGCAGTGATAAACAAGATCTTAGAGATCTTATGTGGATAAAAATGAACTCAGCTCATTCATCTTGGCAATACCGCGAGCGTAAAAACTTCCTTGGTCTTCCCGATAATCAAAGGGATGGTTATGTTCCTGAAGGTGTTGATACTGAGGATTGGGTGCAAGCTGTTCATTATTGGGCTTCTGATGACTTCAAAGTAAGTATCCTTTTTATATGAGATGCTGCACACTTATTTTAATCTTTGATTATTATTAACATATGGAAAATATATATAGAAAATGAGTAAGAGGAATAAGCAAAACAGAGGAAAGGTGGAAGGGAAAAATACTTGTGGCTCAAGAACATATGGCGAAGTGGCGGAAAATATGGTAATGAGTTTTCTAACTTCAGTTCATAAATAATAATCTAATTATTATCTTTTCCCATTTCGCATATTTAAACTGTATTCTCAGCTTGTAAATTTAATTAATCAAATTCAAATTTCAGAGAGATCCGTTAACTGGAAAAATGAAGTCTCATGATGAGGTATATTTTGCTCAACATACGAGGCAAAACAAAGGAGAAATATCATGGCCTGATCCTAGGTCAAAAATAATATACGTAAGTCAACCATTTATATAAATTCCTTTTACCATCTTATCAAATTTTATCAGTTCAAATTATATTTGATGTCTCTATTAGTATGTGCTAATTTATTTTGAAACTATTAATACATTCTTCATTTTACAGGGTAAAATAAAAGAGTTGGTTGAAGCTGGATCTAAGTTGACGTATAAAGAGATGGTTTGTCTTGCCTCGGGAAAGGCTCTCACTCAGAGTAGTAGGAGGTCCAGAAGAAGAGGGAAAGATAAGTATCTATTGAGGACATAGATCAAAGCAGAGGTGCAACAACAGTATGATGCTAAGTTAGCCGAAGAAAAGAAGAAGTTTGAGGAGACAATAGCTCGTCTACAAGTAGAAAAACCATGAAGAAAAGATGAGAGAAATGCGATCGACATGAGAGACAATTTTCTTTTCAACATAAACAGTAGCCTATTAGTACATTTTTCTACTATATTTAGTTTATATCATTGTTGAGATTGGAGTTAAAGATATTTCTTACATATGGATTGAGTTAAACGAAATCTATTCCCTTTTTATAATGAATTATTTTTATTATTAACAAAATCTTGTTGCAATTTGGTATTTGTGACTAGCAATTTGTCACAAAATCATTACAATTATGACAAAAACAAGTCATAGTTATTGTCACTAAATGTGATATACGAGACAACTTTGATATAAAAAAATTGTATTTATGTCGAGTCAAATCATCACCATCGTTGTATTTTCTGATGAAAATAGTTGCCACATAAATAATTTTTGGTGACATATCAAATTGACACTAATGTATACTATTTGCTACAATGTACAATCGTCACAAAAATTGTCATTTGCGTCACAAAAAGTACTTCACTACAATATTATTTCGAGTTTAATTTTGTTACCAAAAAATATAATCGTGACAACACGGTTTTCACTAACTATACAAAATTGTGATGGCTAAAGTTCTCACTATTGATTATATTTGTAACGACAATATGTCTTACATAAAATGGTTTTGATCATGTATCAAATCGTCACTAATGTATACTTCTCTTACAACACACCAACGTCACAAATGCTATTAGAAGTGATAAAAATCATTTATCATAAAAGTTTGCTTTCGTGATAAATTTTATTTCTTGTCACTAATGTTGTCACAGCGGTAACATAAACTATGTCACAAAATCCGCCTTTTGCGACAATATCCCTGACACAAAAACCTCCTTTTGTGATAAATGTGAATCTGAAAAGGCGCATCATTTGTGACAACTAAAATTGTAACGAGTGGAAATGATTGGTGACTATACAAACTCGTCACAAATGAAAAGTATTTGTTACACTTGGAAGGTTGTCACAATTAAGCACTTCTTATGTGACAGAATTAACCCGTCACAATAAAGCTTATACATGTTAGGTATACATTTCAAAAGGTGTTACGTAAACTTTTTGAAGTGTTGCCTAAAATAGTGTTGCATATGTAAAATTGTGTTGCATATAGAGTATACTTAAGCGACACATTTTTGTTGTTGCGAAACGTGCCAAAAGTGTTACCTATTACTTTATACAACACCACCTATAGAGGATACTAGTAAAAGTGTTGCATATTGCATACGCAACACTTTCGACACCTTTTGCAACACATTTCAAGTGTTGCCAAATGCCACTTTTCCCGTAGTGTTGCCATGATTTGGAGCTGCTGGACATCTTCTACCCATTCACCCGCATCATTCCGAAGAGCAGATATCATGTTTCTCATACGACGTTGGATGGTACGAGCATGAAAGTATTTAGTATTTCTATCACCATGTGCGATCCACTCCAAGCGAGATTTTTGACACCACATAAGTTCCTCCTGGAGAAGGATAGACTCTAGTTCCTGCCGATACTGCTTCATCAAAGGCGAATTTGAATCACCTCCGCCTTGTAGCTCCAATCTTTCTATCTTGGCCAATATGGCCTCCTTTTTCCTTGTAATGTTTCTGAAAACATGGTAGTTACATTGCCTTGCTTCCTCAGTAAACGATTTAATGGAACTATGAAGGTCGACCCCTTTCTTCCAAGCATTCTCTGCCATTTTCGTAAAGTTCTCATGTAACAGCCAAGCAGCCATGAAACGGAATGGTTTTGGCCCTACTGGTTGGTGTTGAGGGTTGACGTGAAACAAAAGCGGTCGGTGGTCGGATTTAACTTTTGGGAGATGTTGCACCGAGCTATCGGGAAATATACTCTGCCATGAAAGATTGACCATACCTCTATCCAGCTGTTCTCTTATTCCTGCATGGAACCATGTATATGGCGGTCCATAATAGCCTAGGTCAATTAGCCCTGCATCCAAGACACACTCTTGAAAATCTCTTACCCTACTCGCATCGAAGGGCGCTCCATTTGATTTCTCAAAGGCGTGAAGGATCAAGTTGAAGTCACCCGTAATAAGCCAGGTTTCGGTCATTTCCTCAGCGATATCTCTAATAACTCCCCAAAGTTCCCGTCGTTGAATCAGTGCTGGGTTACCGTATACTGCCGTAAGAGCCCATTGCGTAGCCCCACATTGAACAGACACGTGGAGATGTTGTGTTGATCGCGAATTTTCTACTATCGAGGCCATTGACGAGTCCCAAAGGATCCATATGCCTCCGGAGAACCCATCTGCATCTACCACCAGCTTCTCGTCGAAACCCATGTCGTCAATAACTTCCCTCCTCCGATCCGCGCTAATGCGAGGCTCGACAATAACTATGATCCTCGGTCTATGCTTTCGACGGTATTCCTTGAGAACTTTAAGGAAATGTTTGCTTCCAGCTCCCCTACAGTTCAAAACAAAGAGTCTTGTATCCATTAAGTACAAGTAGGGTTGGGTTCGGCAGCAACCCCGTTAAGGTGAAAGGTTGAGAGCCCCTTGATCATGGCTCTCCATCGCGGAGCTCGCATTTGCCATTTTTGCTTGGTCATTATTCAACTCGCTTGTCTCACTCGTCTCACTTTGTATGACTTGCTTCTCCAACACTGTCGATTTCGTTAGCATACACTCTACGTCATTGTCACCCGGCTTATCTGGGGCTTTCTTACGAATGCTTCCCTGCTCCATTATGTCCATGGGTTGAGACTCCGACGTCACCATAGTTTGCTTCCTCTCTGCACAGGTGCGATCCTTCCCCACATCCATTATATTAGCCACTTGAGTGTTGGTATCCTGACATGGAATTGTGTTTTGTGTCTTCACAATCTTACCTCCCACCATGCATGTAACGTAATTTAACTTTGTTGTGCTAGAACTCATATGCTGCTTACTTCTATCCTCATGACTCGGTGGGGGGCCCTGTCCCTTTACTTGTTTTTCGGCTTTCTCAACCCATACCTTTTGTGTTCCTGAGGAGTTTGTATCATCCGACTTGTTGTGGATCATCAGGTCACCTGTAATACTGGGTTGCACTTTAGCTCTGAACACCTCAGCTTCCTCAACAGCGATAGCTGTAAATCTTGATCCTCCTGGGTAGTTTCTCTTCGGCGTTGTTTCTGTTGAAGGCTGCTTATTCCTGTTGTCGGAGGCTTATTTGTTGTATGGTCCCCGTCCCCGCATTTTGGCTAGCATCCATTCCCCATAAGGTTCCTCAGGTTTAGGTTTGTGGGTAGCCTCTTCATTCGTTGGCATTGGTGGGTTTTGCTGGGCATGGAGGCTTGGACATCTCGGTTGCGGGTGTCCGTATTTTCCACAATGGAAGCAAACATTCTCAAGACCTTCATATTGAAACTCATACTCAATCCCCGCAACTTTGAATTTTGCGAGTAGTGGCTTCGTTAAGTCTACTTCAACACACACCCGGGCAAACTTCGCCCTTGCTCCTATCTTCGTTGCTCGATCAAAACGGATCGGTTTCCCCGCTATGTTTAGCAATTCTCATTACTGCTTCTGGGTGGTAAAGTTCAATCGGCATGTCAGGGATTTGTATCCATACTAGAGTCGATTGTATCCTGTTTGTCTTGGGATTGAACCCCTTCTTCCACCGGCTTGTCGTAATATAATGGTCAACTAACATCCACCTCGTAGTCCAATTTGCTTGTGAAGCGTACAAAGTAGTAGCCATAGCCTTTGTTCATTACTTGTATGATGCCATTCTTTGCCCACAGCATGTTCAGTCGTTTGGCTACCAGGACTCTAACCACAATGGCAGAGCGCCATTATCTTCTATACTTCCTCAATTCATAGGTTGTAAAGTGCCGTAGGGCATAGGGGGTCGTCAGTGTCTTCTCTTTCCTCGTCTCTCGCATCTTCTTTCATCGCCTTGGCCGCATCTTCTGAGTCTGATTCCGCCACATACCACTCGACCTCTTGCACCGCTTCGCTAAAAAGCTTTTTTCTTGCTTCTCCCCAGCCTAGCGGCGTCTGTGCTTGCGTAGCATGTGTCGGGGCTGAAGGCGGGCATTGGCTATCACTAGGGTTATGGTGAGGGTTCTCCCTCTTTTGTTCCTCTTCATCAGTAATATCTTCCACTATTGCCTCATCCATGTCACAGGTCTCATCCGGCAGCGCCAATGGCCTAACTCTCTTCTTCGGGTGCTGTGATTCGTGCTCTTTCTTCTCGTCCGGGGACGAGGAGAGCTTTGGTGGTCTTCTCATGCCTAAGGTTGGGTCCGGGGGCTATGGATCCCCCCCGATTGGGGTTGAGGACGGCACCGAGGCCGCCATAGCGTCGCCGAGTGGCCTTCGGCCAGAAAACCCTAAACGTCGATTTCCTGGAGCTCCGCAATTTACGGAGCTATATTGTTACACTCTTGCTTGGTTGGTTGGTTCTTCCTAAGGTTATTTTTATGAAGAACATCGAATAATACTAATTTTCATTTTCTCTAGTTATGATTTTCTTTCTTTCTAGTTCATTTTAGCGATCTTCATAGAAGTTCTATTGCACGTTACCCATTTTATAAACAAACAATAATGTTGGCGATAGTGCTAGTAATTGTACAACAACAATTGACAGTTTATGACAAAATCATAATCATAATAATGATGTTTACTGCTAAACATGTGGACTTGTCTGTAAAATATTCTTGATTTCGGTTGTAATGACATGAATTCCTGTACATTGTTTTTTATTAGGAATTCGGAAAAAAAAAATTAAGAATACCACTTTTGTCTGTCAAAATCAAGAGGGGGATCAATCAATCAAGCAGATACCAAATCTGCCAGTCAGGGGAGTTGAAAACCACGGCACGATGGTCTTACCCATCTGCAACATTTTGCTCTGTCAATTACCAACCATAAACCAACCCAGAATCTGAAGGCCAGAAATCTCGTCCAGACACGAACTTTCCTTTCCTTGATAGATCATCTCCATTAGATCGTTAAATTTAGGTGGTTATTTCATTTCAGGAGGGACTGCACGTGTAAACTGTACACGCATACAAACACAATTATATGATTGGTGTTTAGAAAACAAGAACAATAACAATACAATGATTAAGATCAACCCACCAACAGGCAACAACAGCACATCAACTTGTCTGAATCTTCTAGCAGAAACCCACAAAAGTATTGGGCGGAAAGGCAGAGCTAGGCTGGCAATGTGCCCCAACCTCTATCACTGAGCAGTTTGTTTCTTCCTTTACCATTTTCCAGCTCTTTCCTTCCTTTCTCGCTATATATACATACAATTGAGCATATGGGATAATGATTCTAGCAATAACAAACACTACAACTACAATCCATAGCAGCAAGATATATATCTTTCTTAAGCAAGTGCTCACATCAAACGCACTTTGTACTTCTCTTTTCTGGGTTCCGATCGTCAGAGCTAGTAAAGACATGATGAACAAGAATGCTAGCCGTGCTGCTGCAGCTTTTGGAGGCGTGGCATCGAGGCTGCCAAGGAGGAGAGGGCAGATCAAGTTGAGGATTGCAGCAGCTGCTATTCACTCCATTGTTTCTCTTCTCTCCAGAACTTCTTCTTCTGCCTCCTCTGCTGTTGCTCTTCATAGCAGCAGCAACGGAAATCACCACTGATGCTGCAAAGTTAGCAGCGTTCTTGTACTCCAATTCCCATCTGTACATTTCTGGTTTTTTGTTTCCCATGTACTTAGAGTGAACCGACCCAGTTCGTGTTTTGCTTAGCTTTTTGGTTGCAATTGGGTTCATGATAGTTTTCTTGATTGGTTACTAGTTCTCAAGCGGGTTCCAACTTCCAAGATACATATTTGAGCATGGTCCGAGTAATTATGTGGCCAACCTGAGTTCTACAGTGAGCATAACCTCTGCCATTGGTATTTGACGACCAAATCAATACGTTCCAACTTCCAACTTTAACCTCAAGGTGCTAGACCCAACCAGACACCAGCTAAACTAAGGATGAACCACTGTGGCTTGTAGCTGTAGTAGGATGTAATGAATGGGATAAAAGCGTAAACAAGATTTAATTTGGAGACTAGTTTGTAATTAGAAAGACATATAAAAAGAATGGTGTGCTGTAATGGAGAGTTATCTTCGAATAACATAATACAAAAATCCTGACTCTTTTCCCTGCTCCTTCCTCTTCTCCCCTGCTGTCTTCTTCCTCACATCTTCTCCTTCCTTTTTCTATCTTCCTCTGCAATTCCCTCTGTTCTTCCTCCCTTCCTCTATCTCTCTTCCCATTTCTCAATTCTTTCTCCTTCTTTTCAATTCAATACAGTGCCTTCTTGCCGGAATCGATCCTCCTCCGACCTCAATCGCCACAAGCGGTATCAGCGCCGACGCTCTCTTCTCTCATCGAGCTAGAGGTGGCAATTAGGATCCAAATCCATGAATCCAATCCAATCCATCCACCAAATTATCCACCTAATCCAATCCATTTAAATTCAAGGGCTAATACCACTACAACACCCGAACTATGACAAAAATGCCACTTATGTCCTATTTTTTTCAATATTTCATTTATGTCCTAAACTATTATTCCGTTAATGTTGACCGGCATTGACTATTAGTATTTAACAGAAAATCCAGTCAGCGTTCACGTGGCATCGGACGTGTTATTTTTAAACAATTAAATAACAATTAGAAAAGGAAAAAAAAATTACTAATCTCATATACCCAATCCCCTCCCGAGCTTGCTCCGCCCCTTTCTCTTACCCGACCCAATCCGCCACGATAAGTCGCCAAAATCCTTTCGCCATACACAGCCCGTCGGCAATCAAATGCAGCCGCATCGCATCCGTCCAGTCACCGGTTAAGAAGATGACACTGCTTCTTTTTGGTGGGAATAATGAAGTCGAAAATGATGGCATCGCCACGCTTGGTTCGAGTGTTATCGCCGGCGTAGAATAAATGGAACTTTGCTGGGATTTTTTCTCTGATGCGAAAAGTACTTGTCTTTCTGTTGTTCCTTACATCTTCCTTGGCTTCTCTTTTATGTTGTTGTCGCCGCCGCCGGTAGTTGCCGGAGAGGACTCTATTTTTGTCCAAATTAACCTGGGACTTCTGTTTTCTTTCATATATTTCATCCTTTTCCTTACCATTTTTCTCTCTTTACAGCTGAATTCGCCCGGAATCTGGCCTTGTTGCTTCTTCTTGGTCGTCAACACTGCTCAACGGAGGTAGGTGGGAAGGTGACCGTTGCCGGAATCTGGGTTTGCTGTCTTTCCCCATTTTTTTAATTTCAAGATCTGATGATGGAGTCTTTTGACCAAGAGTGATTAGATGGCGAAGAAGAAGAACAATATGTTTGCAGGTTCGTCGCTTGGTGGAGGGAGACTCGATCCTCCTACCACTCTCGCTAGATCTGTTTTTTTTTTTTTTTTTGTGAGACTTTCTTTGCTGGCCGCTGTTGTTCATGCCCGATGAAGAAAGGGATAATTCTATTTTGATAGAGGAAGAAGAAAGGGAAAGTGCAAAGTCAAAATTTTCATTAATGTTGAGTTTACATTTTCTGAGTTTTTTAATATTAATTTTTATTTAATTTTGAATATAAAATATGAGGTGTCAATGACGTGGCATTTATGTGGCTGCCACATTTTTTGCCACGTCAGCAAAAGTCAACTTCGCGTTGACCACCGTTTGGTCAACCGTTATCTTTAAACGGTCAACGAAATTGACAGGATACAAATGACACAAAGTATTATAGTTGAGGACATAAATGGAATATTGAAAAGAATAGGATATAAGTAACATTTTTGTCATAGTTCGGGTGTTGTAGTGGTATTAGCCCTAAATTCAATCCATTTGATCCAAATCCAATTGGATTGGTGGATTCATGGATCAATCCATGGATCCAAATGGCAAATTACTATTTGGTACCTATATTTTTTATATTTTACATTTTGGTACTTAAAATTTATATTTTTATACGAAAAATATCATTTGAAAATTACATTTAGGTACCTAAAAATTTTCATTATGACATTTTAGTACCTCAACTTTTCAAAATTTACAGTTTGGTCCAAGCCTTGGATGTCATTTGGATTCATGGATCAATCCACCAATCCATTTGATCCAATCCATGAATCCACCAATCCATTTGATCCATGGATCCACCAATATAATCCACGAATCCATGAATCCGATCCAATTGCCACCTCTACATCGAGCCAATGCAAGACACTTTTGACAAATTGCACAATTCTTGCATGGAAATCATGGCGATGCTACACGAAGTGGAAATTCAGTTGGACGCTGTTGGGCTTCTGTCTCCCTCTCCAACGAGCATGGTGACGAGAAATCTGGGAGCGGTTATGGTAAGTACTACAAAAGTAGTAATCACCGTGGCTACTAAGGGTAGGAATGGTATTCTGGTGCTTATTGTTTTGGTAGTGATGCTAATTTTTATTGGTAGTGTTTACATAGGGTAGGAATGGTATTCTGGTGCTTATTGTTTTGGTAGTGATGCTAAATTTTATTGGTAGTGTTTACATTGGGTAGAAATGATATTCTGGTGCTTATTGTTTTGGTAGTTATGCTAAATTTTATTGGTTGTGCTTACATTGTGTTATTAGTGTATATATGTTTCGATGGATTGATATTCAATATTGAAAATGAGTTGCTTGACCACTTCCAGAAATACCAATATCATTATAGAAATAAAAGAAGAAATCAATGCCAAAACATAAAAAACTATACCAATACAACCAATCGAGACGAATCAATACAACCAATACAACTACGGAAAAAATAGTACCATTACACGACAAAACTACCAATATAAACAATCTATACCATTATAAGAATCAAACTAATACCAAAATCAACCAGTACCACTACTACAATAAAAACAAAACAATACCATTCCATAAATCAAATCACTACCACCGTGAAGACCAAATAAATACCATTCCATACCAACATAAAAACCAGTAAACCACTACAAGAAACAAATGAATACCAAAATAAAAACAAACCCAAAAGCATATCAAAACTGAACCAATCAGAGATGGGTTGGAGAAGACTTTCACCCTGATCCTCCTCTTTCTATGCAAATCAAACAGAATGGCATAGAGTTGTATCGAAATCATCTAAGCTGAAGGAACAAGAAGAAGGGGGCTGACAATTGATCATTTCCAAACTCTCTTCCACTGCATTGAAATAGAGACCTACACAAAGTTTTTCATATAACGTAAAAGAGAAATCACCAATTCACTAATACATTAGCCATGGCGGCACTAGTACTACTACTGTCCATCTTTCTTCTTCTTCTGCTGACGATGACGATGATGACGATCGCCTCCTCCGAAAAGGAGGATATGTACAAGTGGGATTGCCAGGACGGTCACAGCGGAGTGACGAAGAGACGGCGGCCGCCACGATGCAGGCGATCCTCGACAATATGGTCGCTACACTGCCGTATAGAAGGGACGGGAGGGACTGGCGGAGGGTGAACGGCCGACGAGGAGGGGAAGGGAGACAGAGAGAAGAGAGGGGTGGACAGCCGATGGTGGGAAGGGAGTCGCGGTAGGGTTTGCCTACAATATATAGAATAATCAGGTGTGATATATTATTATTTTCAAAATTACCCCTAATTAATTATAACCGTTAGATTAAAAATAGTGGAAATGAATAGTACAGATGTAGGTTGCCACGGTGACAACCATTTTTTTAGTTGCCACCTTAACTCGTCCCTCTTGCCCAGAACCCATTGGATCGATCGAGGCATCAATGGTCCGCGGGGGTTGTTGACAGTGTGGACGGTCAGTTGGGGAATCGGTACGATGGCCGAGAATCATCTGTGCGCGGAAAAGGTAAGCCGGAGGGGTATTTCTCAACTTACAAGGGAGAATTTCCGGCTGTTGGTGACTCATTGAAGATCCCAGAAAGCCTTCCGCCACTCATTGAAGATTCATTTCTTTTGTTTCTTTTAAGAGTACGATTTAAGTTTTGCCCACGTGTTTAGGGCTTCGCTTTGAGATATTAAGATATTTGAGATTGGTATTTTATTTAAAGTTGTGTTATTTGAGATTTTTAAATATACCCCGGGGTAGAAATGTCTATTTCCAAGTTCAAAGTAGTGGGAACTCCTACGGTGGCTCGGCCAGCAATGGGATGGTCAATGGTTCTGTGGCAGTGACTTTAACCAAGTACGTTGCACTAATGAAAAAAGCGAGGGTAGGTCTGCGCATGAGCCTGAGATGAGCCAGTTTGTAGAGTTCCTGGCCGATACTGGATTACAAGACCTGGGGTTCCATGGATATCCATATAGGTGTGAGAACCGTCGGCATAGAGATGGTTTCATTGAGAAGAGATTAGATCGTTTTGTGGCAAATGAAGGATGTAGGGAGCTTTTCCCGAACAGTCATCTATAACACTGGGTCGAGCGAATTCATACCATTGTCCAATTATTTGTGACACACAAGGATCGGAGAATGTTGAGGTTAGGTGGGGTCGTTAATTCCGGTTTGAGCTGTATTGATCAAAGTATGATGAATGCTTGAAGACAGATGAAGCAACTTGGTGCAGTTTGGGTGGTCATGATATCCTAGCAAAATTTGACCATTGCCGCGCGTAGCATATGCAGTGGAGTGAAAGGGCTTTTCCACCCTTTGCAAAGAAAAAGACCCGCATCACTCGTACACTCTGGTCATTCGAGAGGAGACATAAAACAGAGAAAGTGCTTGAAAAATGCCACCAGCTGGAGAACGAAATGGCAAAGGTTTTGGACAATGAGGAGTAACTGAAAGCAGATGTCATGAGCTTATTGGTTGAAGGGAGGGGACAAAATAACCAATTATTTTCACTAGAAAGCAACGGCCAGGCGAAAGAGGAATACCATCAGAAGAGTATAAAACGAAGCAGGTCGGTGGTTTGTGGGTCAAGGCAAAGTCTCAGAATGCACGGTTGATTATTATGAAGGTCTGTTCACGGCTGGCATGGCATCGCACCACTGGCCAGTGCTCGAATATATCCCTCGCCGAGTGGTTGATGAGGACAACGCTCGCCTTCTCTATCCATTCACAAGGGAGGAAATCTTTGGAGCCCTCAAGCAAATGAGGAGCGAAAAGCCCCAGGTGCGGATGGTTTCACAGTTCTTTTCTTTCGCAGGTAT